AGCTAATGATAGTTATATAAGAGCAGATGCTGCTGGTGCAATAAGCTGTACGTTTTACGTCCAGTGGATGATGATCTGATTAGTCGACTAATCGCAAAAATAATGTGTGACTAGTCGACTATCAAAAAAACATCGTTTGTGGCAGCCCTAGTTGCCTACACTGTAGAGGGTGACTTCACCTCCTGAGCTAAACAGTAAAATTAGCACAGTCAGGGGTTACAGTGGGCAGGTGGGGGAACCCTAACATCTGTGTCGTGTCTCAGCATGGGGACAAAAATCACAACTCAAAATCATTTCTAACATGAGCTTCAGCAGATTTAGTGTACAGGATTGTGGATGTACACAACGATGTAAGCAGATCTTTTACAGCTATCTTCACTGATTTCCATTTCCTACACTGACATTATGCTGTACAATGTCTTTATATTAGACTGGATACAGTTGGTATAACGTCAGAATTCAGTGAGTTAATCCAACCATCATCATCTTAATTGTAAATCAGTCTGCTACACTTGATGTAAAACCAAGACTGACCACTGACACTGTGCACCACTCCAGCTTTACAATAACTTCACTGCAGTGTGACAAGCTAACGTCTTTAACCCATACAGAGTACAGAGTATTTTCATGCAGTATTTGATTAACACAAAGTTAGTATAACCTGGTTTGTTTTGAAGTAATGTCCAATATGAGATTAAAAATACATGTACGTTTTAAATTTGCAAATCAGATTTCCAGGCTTTACTGAGCTGGCCTGCCTTTAAATCCAACCTCTCTGCGTCCCCTCCTGTCTTTTCTTACATCTTTCTCCATCTCAAAGTTCTCACACTCTTTTCTCTCCTTGGAAATACAGCAGCTATCAACACACTGTGCACAAACAGTTTGTATGTTTGCTGATGTTTGTTGAACTGACCAAAACATTGAGTCTGAAATTACCTGACACTTCAGAGACATCACTCCTTTCATGCTTCCTCCTCTTCCATAGCACTAGCTACATTCTACTGTAAATGATGAACCAAAAGGAGTAAAAAGTACAGGTATTCGTTTAAAAAAGGGAGTAAAAGTAAAAAGTTTCAGAAAAAAACTGTACTCAGGTACACGATTCTACTTGAGTACAGTAACAAAGTATTCGTGCTTTGTTTCTTGCAAAGTCACATGCATTGATGACTTGCATCATATTGCTACCGATCTGCTTTGTCTCAGCTCGTGTCTTATGCAGATATTTGTCTGTTACTGACATTCATGCATCTTTTTCATGATGGCTTGTGCAACACACAGGTACCTGCAGCTGTTCTGCTTTATGGGAATGCTCCCCCTTTAGAACTCAACCAGTCAGTTTTAGACATCCAGTCCAAATGACTTTCCCATGTCCTTGCTGTAGATCCTGGTGAGGTGGATCAGTGAGTTCACTCGTGGCATACAGCCTGATGTCATCCATTTACAGGAGGTGGCTGATGGTCACTCAGCTTCAAACAGCTGGCTTAGGGGTTTAAAGTCTATACAGAACAGCAGTGAGGACAGTGCATCAGCTTGTTGTCTTCTAAGTTCCTGATGAATGTTATTGTCATGTGTTAGCCTTGTAAGGTGTGCCAAGTCCCTGACAGTGGCTTTTTCAATGATGGAGACAGTCCATGGTCTGTCGCCATCATTTCTCTTCACCTAGCACTGCCATCTGTTGCTGTCACTGTGACAGCTTTTGTTTAACCAAACTTACAGCTGATCATCTGGGTTTGCATACAAAAGAACAGTACAGTGATGTGTGCCTCACAGCAAGATGGTCCTGGTTGGAATCCACCATCTCTCTGTGGCCTTTCTGTGTGGAGTTCGCATGGGTTTTCTCTGTGTACTCCGGCTTCCTCCCACAGGCCAGAGACATGCAATTAGGGTAGTTAGGTTGGTTGATAATTCTTAATTACCCATAGGTGTGAATGTCTGTGTCTCTATGTTAGCCCTGCAACAGCCTGATAACCTGTCAGGCTGTATCCTGCCTCTTGCTCATGGCCCCCCATGACCCTGATAAGGATAAGGGAAGAGAGTGGAGTGTAAGATTTAAGCTGTCAGACTGTGTTGAAGAGGTCCACACTTCAGCATGTCTTCTGAGCAACCAAATAAAACAGATGTGCTCGTGTTACTGTTGTTAATTCTGTGTATAAAAATGGATATTTCATTCAAATTCAAATTTTTTATTTGTCATGTACACAGTCATACACAGTACGATATGTAGTGAAATGCTTGGACAACTGCTCGT